AAGCGCTACGCGGAGGAGGAGATGTACCGCCCCCACCCGGCCTTCTACCGCCCGAGGCTCAGCGACTGCTCCGACTACTCGGGCCAGTTCCTACAGCCCGAGGCGTGGCGCCGCGGCCGGAGCCCCTCTGATATCTCCAGCGACGTGTCCATCCAGATGACGCAGAACTACCCTCCTGCCATCAAGTACCCAGACCACCTGCACATCTCCACCTCTCCCTGCTGAGGCCCTGCCACTCAGAGCTCCCCTCTCGTTGTCCACCTCGCGGGTCTTCCCGAGCGCAGCTCCTCTCGCCCCTCAGAGCTCCCACCTGGAGGGCACCGCTCACGCTTTAACTCCGCCCTCTTCCCAGAGGCCCCGCCCCGTCGCCCTGGCCCCGCCCCTTCCCGGCCTTTTTTCTCCTCTGGGCCCTGCCCCTTCCAAATAGCTCTTCCTTCTTTTCCACAGGTCCCGCCCATTTCATCTGGCCCCGCCCCTCCCCGCAAATTAGAGGGACGCCTCTCGCGTTCCCGGCTCCGCGCACCTACACAGGGCAGCACCCCCACCTCCGCCGCCGTGCAGGCGCCCACCTATACTGAGCCCCCAACATGCCGCCTCCTCGCAGGGCCGCAGGGCTGGAGAGGAGGGCCCGGTAGCCGTCAGGAATACCAACCATCCTCTTCTCACTTTTGCCGCGACTTCTCTGTTTCTTGGCCCAGTCTCACTTCCGAATCTTGGGGGTTGTTGGGTGCAGTGGAGGGCCTCTTTGCTCCACCCACAGATCCGGGGTGGGGTGGGGGCTGGAGGCTGTGGGTACCATTAATGTGGTACCCCCTACACACGCACATGTCTCCTTCCCTGGTAGACTCCTTCTTTCTCACCTGTTGGGCTCTTCTAGGTCTCCAGGTTACCGGCCGTTCAGGGGACGCTGTCTAACCGACGTTGCTTTCTCAGCTGTTCTTAGCTTCTCTCTCTTCCTCCTCTGTCTCTTTGCTCCTCTCCGCCCGCACATCCAAAGCCCCGGGGTGCATCCAGCCCCGCACACCACAAGAAAAGGATGGAGACCCTAGGGTGAGGGAATTCCATGTTATTTCCACACTTGTGCCCGCCTCTTCCCCCTAGAGACCGCTCGGGGGAGGGAGAGGCAGTAGCGGGGGTCGACACCCCCTAAACCTCGAAGTCTTCCATTTTCTGGCACTCCCCTCGCCATTGAAATCCCCCTTTTCATCTCAGACCTCGAACTCTGGCCTCTTTAAGGGTCAGTCCTCCCTCTTGGACAGATTTGCGGGGGTCCCAGGAATTTGCCCACCACCCCTTATTGGGGAGGAGGGGAGAGGTAGCACAGTGTTCTACACGGAACCAGAAAGGCCCCTGGGGTGGGGGGTGGGGGACAGAGAAGGGACGTGGGCTTTTAGTTTGCATCTTAGGGGGGAGGGGGGAGGGGGTAGCGCAGCAGTTAACCTGTCTTTACGCAATGATTTTTAAAGAGGCTAGTGGGGAGGGGGGCCCTGGGGATGGCGAAGGGGGTGGTGTGGGGAGGCCTGGCTCTGTTATTTACCGTGTATCATATGTAAATAACAACAGAAACTTCAATAAACTTTATTTCAAACACGTCTCCGTCTGCGCAGGGGGAGGGCGTTGGGTACAGGGAGCTAGGACCGGGTCTAGACGCCTAGGATCAGAGAACAAGGTTAGATTGGTGTTTGTTAAATTTCTAATCCTCATCATTATCAGCAGCAGCACTTTATAATTCAGTCTGTGTAAAGAACGTAGGACAGCAAATGACACGAAGCAGGATCAATAAAAATTAACTCTTGTTATTACTCTGATTATTTAGAGTACTGTTACTATTACTCACCTTCTACATTCACTGCTCCGTTTACTTTTCTCCCCAAGCCTACAGGCTGAGTTTATTGGACTCACTTTGCAGCTAGGGCCATTAGGATAAAATGAGTCGGGGAGCAATGAGTTTTCTAATGTTTGGCTCAGTCACTTTGTCAAGAAATAACTGTTACCATTTATTGCGCACCTACTACAAGCCACACACTTTCCTCCCACACACGATCTCATGAGATTCCCAGCAGCCCTGGTGTAGGAATTATCACACACACACACACACACACACACAACGGGCTCTGAGGTCTGTGATCTCTCCCCACACTGAGGGACTAAAACCAGCCTGAGAGCTTGATAACCTTGTTTCTGAGATTTATTGAAAAGGAAACAGTTCTATCTTAGCCCTTGGGTTCTTTAGTCTTAATTTAGCCTCTTGGTGACACTTACAACAACTTCAACCACAACCATATTTATCAATCTGTCATTAGGTGTCAGGCATTCCCATTCATTCACTCATTGGATTCTCCCAGGCACCCTGTGAACTGGGCATTCCATGTAACCCCATTTTGTAGATGGAGAAACTGAGACTAGGGGAGGTGAGGTCACCCAACTGGTAAGATGCAAAGGAGAATTCACACCGTGGCTGGCTAACTCCAAAGTCTGCTCTCTCGACTGCAGTATTTTACTACTAGAAATTTGATGCAAACTCATTCTGTGACCTTGAGCAAGTCTTTAAATCTCCGAGACTTTCATTTTCTGTAACAAGATGGGGGTGGGGGATGGGCTAGAAAGGTTCCAAATCTTTCCAGAGCAGGGAGAATTGGGAGGAGGGGGTATATTAGCAGAAGAATTAAGTTTAGGATCATCTTCAATGGAGGAAATATTCTGAGTCATGTTCAATGATTTTAGGAATTTCTGGCAGTCATGCTAAAGATTTGGGATGGCAAATACGTTCAGCTGCTTTGTCAAGACTAATTGATTTCTAGTGGCTGCCAGGAGCACAGTGTTGATATGGATTTTGAACTTCTGCTCAGTGGGAAAGGATGTCTCCATCCATTATTGCTGCCTGCCATCCTGATCAATTGTTGCTGCCTGTCTTGCCAGCAGGATGGGCAGTTGTGGTGCAAGTGCTGGTTTTGTTGATTTTGTCTGGAACATAACACTTAGAATCTTAATGTTTATGTTATTTAAAGAAAAAAACAAGCTAGTTGTTGTTTTGCTTTTTACATTTTGAAAATGGAATGGGATTCCATTGTTAAAGATTTATTTGTTTGTTTTTAAGAAATGCTGTGAAAAGTCAGTCCTATCTCTGACCTCTTGACATCCAGAAATCCCTCTACCAAGGCACTACCGTCTTTTAACATACAATTTCAAGAAAATCTAGGCATAATGAAATATATATGCATGTGTTTAAACTCACACACAAGTGAACGTGTGGCATATTTGCACACGTCTGTTTGACACAGCATTTATCATAGTATGTACATAATTCTGTACCTTGCAATTTCGCACAGCAGTTTAGTATGAAGATCATTTAGTATTAGTTATGTAACTCTACCTTACTAGTTTTCAAGGCCACTTAACAACAATGCTTTGCATAAATTAGTTGCATAATTTAATGAGTGTTTTCTCTGTGCCAGCAACTTTGCATTCAAGTCCTAACACCTTACATTCAATAACCCAAGGAGATTGGTGCCTTTGTTATCATCCCCACTTTGTAAATGAGATCCTGAGGTGCAGAGAGGTTAATTAACTTCCTCCTGGTCACACAGCTAGTAAGCATTCAAACTAAGATTCGAAACCTGGGAGACTCCTGACCTGTCTTGCTTAACCACTAAGCTGTATACCTCCATGTATATTGCAGCCACATAGTTCTATCTGTTTATCTATTATCACTCCTACACAGTGTTTTGCATTTAGTTCATTTATATCAGGGGTCCCCAGTCCCTGGGCCATGGACTATATTGGTCTGTGATCTTTTGGGAACTGGGCTTCACAGCAGAAGGTGAGAGGTGGGCAAGAGGGTGAAGCTTCATCTGTATTTGGCTCTAGCATCACCACCTCAATTCCATCTCAGATCATCAGGCATTAGATTCTCTTAAGAGCACTGGTCCTTGGGGCCAAAAATATTGAGGACCGCTGATTTACAGCACAATATTACACATCAGTGGTTCTTGAATTGTGGTCTAGGGAACCTAGGCATCTTTTTTATACTAATACTACGATACCGTTTGCCATTTTCACTCTTAGTCTCTTGTGAGTTTAAGTCCAGAGTGTTTGGGTAGCTTCACACAATAGACTGAATGCAGAAGCAGATGTGAGAAACTGACTTTCTTCTATGAGGCCAAATGTTGAATAGATTTTCAAAAATATAAGCCAACACAACTATATTTGGCAATATATAGTTATTTTTGATTAAAATAGGTTGTTCATGAAAACATGCAATGAGTTTATTATTTTACTAAAATGAATGTCTATTGTAAACTCTCTGTTTGGATTTTGAATATGTTGAATATTGATAGACATAATATATCCATAAACAAAAGCTCTTTGGGGTCCTCTAAAATTTTTAAGTGCATTAGAAGTCCTGAGACCAAAAAGTTTAAGCATTGTTGCCATATGTCATGAGGCAATATATCAGAAGTAGAGGTTGGCCTCATTTTTTCAGTGACTATGTAGTGGTCTACTGAGTGGAGGTACAGATGTTCCTTCTTATCCATGGGTTCCTAGACCCTCAGTGGATGCCTGAAACTGCAGATAGTACAGATTCTTATATGTGCCATAATTTTTCTGATATATACTCACATTTTCACCTAAAGGAAGCATTTTATGGCTTCCTTTGGCATATTCAAATTGCCAGCACCACTATTCTTGCACATTGGGGCCCTTATTAACTAAAATAAGGGTGACATGAACACAAGCTCTGTGATAACATGACAGTCCATCCAATCACCAATATGGCTGCTAACTCACTACCGGACAGGTAGCATCTACAGTGTGGAGACACTGGACGAAGGGATGATCTATGTCCTGGGTGGCACAGAGGTGGACAGTGAGAGATTTCATCATGCTTCTCAGAACAGTGCGTAATTTAAAACTTATAAATTGTCGTTTCTGGAATTTTTCATTTAATATTTTTGAACCAAGGTTGACCATGAGTAACTGAAACAATGGAGAATGTAACCATGGGTAAGGAAGGGTAGGGCTACTGTAATTTAACAATATATTTTATTTTTATTATAAATTTAAGCCATGATTTTCAAATTTAAGCGGCAGAGAAGGATACAAAGAAAAAATAACTTTCTCTTTTTCCCTATTCTCAAACCGAGTCTCATTTCCCAGAGGGAACAATTGTTATCAGTTTCTTCTTTTAAACCAGTGGTTCTCCACTTGGGGTGTTTTTGTCCCCAGGGGACATTGAGCAGTATCTGGGGACATTTTTGAATGTCACAACTCGGTGGGAGGATGTCATTGGCATCAAGTGGGTAAGGAATGCTGCTAAAGTCCCTACAATGCACAGGACAGCCCTTACCAGAAAGAATTATCTGGCCTAAGATGTGACTGGTGTTGAGGTTGAGAAAAACCTGCTTTAGACATTATCTCTGCATTTATATATTCTCCCTTGTTTTGTTTTGTTTTGTTTTTTACTAACGCACATGAGATTTTGTTAAATTGATTTATAAGCAGCAACTCTTAACTTGAAGGGGATGAGAATCAGATCAAAGCTATAGACTCACAGAAAAGAATACCTATATTCACAAAATTTGGTACATAATTTCAGAAAGCCCTGCCAGGATTCCTGGGATATGTGATTTAGAATCAAAATCACAGAATATTCCATCCAAGGGGGATCTGTAACTGCACCCGCCATCTCCTTTTACAGGCAAGAGGATAGAGGTGCAGAGAGAACAAAAGTTTGGTTCTGGGTGCTTTAGGGAGGCAAGGAAAAGCAAGAATTGGAACTCAAGCCACCTGACTTCCTAGCGCTGGAATATTTCCACTTCACCCTGAATGAGGACGTTTTAGAAATGCTGATCTTCTCTTCCTGATAGAGTGGGAAAACACGCCACCACCACTCTGCTCCTCTTGAGAAAACACAAAGGGCCCAGCTGCGCTTGATGACAAACACTCCAGCACCTGGGGAACAGCACACTCAGGATATGAGATGGGGAGAGGGGTTGGACAGGGACAAGAGGTTGTAACTGGCTGCTAGAGGAGAGGGACCTCAGAATCTGTATCCACTCCTTTCCTGATTCTTTCATTTATTCCTTCATCCATCCACCCATCCATCCACCCATCCATCTATCCATCCATCTATTCACCCATCCATTCATTCAGCACCTGTGGACCAAGGCTTCCTATCTACCATGGCTAGGGTCTGGGGGATACCGAAGTGAGCCAGATCTATGCCTGTCCTCGAACAGCTCCCACTCTGCTGGGTGAGACCGACCAATGCACCAACCACAATGCAAGGCGACTGTGCTCCAATGTGGGCAGAAGAGGGTATGGTGGAAGCACAGCTATAACCCCTGAAACAGCCTTGGAAGATCAGGGAGGGCTTCCTGAAGAGAGCATGTAAATCGAACCTTCAAGAGAAGGTAGAGTGTTTGTTGTATGGCAGAGAGATGGAAGGGGATTCCAGGCAAGGAAGCCACACTCAGAAACCTCAAAAGCATGAAGGATCTGGGCACAGTGTTGGAAATGATTCCAGTTTACAGGAAGAAGCAGCAGGAAAGGTGGCATACGACATGACTTGTACTCTTGGCAAAGGACATAGATAAGGAGCTTAGATTTTCTCCTGAAGGCAATAGAGAGCCATAGAGAATGTTAAGCAGAAGAAAGACAGAGTCAGCTCTGAATGTTAGAAATAACCGTTAGGGTCCAGGTGAAAATTGGACTGGAGGAGATCAGTGGTGTAGGCTGGTGGCACAGTCTAGAGAAGAGCAGGCCAGAGAGAAGGGTATAGATATGAAAGATATCCAGGAGGGAGAGGGGCCCGCATGGGGAGTGAGGAAGGGGGAGGCATTGAGGAGGCATTGGGGTAACATTGGCTGAGCGACCCCTGCATGACTTTCACAGGCAATGTGATTGACAGGGTGTGTTAGTTATCCATTATAGGGCTCATTAGTTATCTGGGGTAACTCGTTTGTGTAAGGAATTACCAAAAACGTAGTGGCTTGAAACAACACATATTTTATTATCTCAGTTTCTGTGGATCAGGAACTAAGTACAGTGCCACAGGGTCCTCTGCTCAGGACCTCCCAAGACTGAAATCAATATGTCAGCTGGCTGTACCCTCATCTAGAGGTAGTTAGGGAATTTTTTATAAATTCTCTCAGGTTGAGTAGAATTCCTTTCCTTGTGGTTGTGTGACCGACGTCCCTATGCTCTTACTAGTATTTGCCACCCTCAGGTCCTCGCCAGGGCAGTTTGCTCCTGCCAGGACAGTGACAGAATCTCTTGCTTTGAGGCTTTCTGACTTCTTGACCCTTTTTAAAGAGATCACCTGATTAGGTCAGACCCACTTGGGATCATCTTCCTTTTGATTACTTTCAACTGATTAAGGACCTTAATTACATGTGCAGACAAGGTGACAGGGTCACCTTATCATATTATGTCACTTAACCATGGGGTGACACTCCATCCTAGTCACATATCCTGCCCACACTCAATTCTACAGGGTGTGTCCCCCAGGGGATGGGAATCTTGGAGGTTATTTTTGAGTCCTGCCTAACACATGAGATCAGGGCCTTCTCCAAAGTAGATGCTTAGCAGACTTATTTCTGAGTCTACAGCCTCTGTCTCCAGATCAAGCCTGCTGGAGATTTTGTCATATGTGAGATCAATTCATTTGCAAATTTGGGAGTAAGATCTGAAAGGGCCCATAACCTGCATTGTCTGTGACACCCCTTCTAAGAAGCCCTTCCCTGAACTGAAGGGGTGATCAGGAGGTCTAATATTTCTATCTTACAAAGTGAAGTCCAGAGATGCTATCTTACTTCTCGAAAAGATTAATCTATGATGTAGCAAATCCTAGGTATGTGCCCAAGAAAACTCATGTTCACACAAAAACTTATACACAAGCATTCGCGGCAGCATTACTCATAATAGCCAAAATGTGGGAATAACCCAAATATCCAATAAATAAATAAAATGTGGCATATCCATACAATGGAATATATTTTTGGCAATAAAAGTCAATGAAGTATTGAATACCAGGTGCTGTAGGCGTTTAAAAAAAAAAAAAGGAAATGAAGTATTGACACACACTATAACATGGGTGGACCTTGAAAGCATTATGCTAAGTGAGAGAAGGCAGCCACAAACGAACATATATTGTATCATTCTGTTTATATGAAGTGTCTAGAACAGGCAATTTTATACAGACAGAAAGTAGATTAGTGATTGCCTAGGGCTGGGGTGTGTGTGGGGAGATTGGGAGTGATGGCCGGCTGAGGGGTGTGTGGCTCCTTCTTGGGCTAATGAAAATGTTCTAAAATGGGTCTAAAGTCAATGGTTGCACTCTTCTATGATTATAGTTAAAAGCCATTGAATCATACACTTTAAGTGGGTGAATTTTATGGTATGTGGTGTCTCTCTCAATAAAACTGCCAAGCAAAAGAGAAAGAGATATGTCCTCTGACACAAGAAATCGTGGTGTAAGTCTGTTACTTAATATCACAAAATTAACCAATAAATGAACTAAAAATATTTATATGGAGAGGAAGAGAAGGAAAAGTGAAGTCTTAACATGAGTTAAGTCTGTCTCTATCAGAGAAAACAAAAGCCATAATATTGACACATCCAGAAGGCAATGGTTTAGGGATATAAAGGCAGGTAAGAGAAGTTCAAGATGTTAAAAGTCTTTTCCAATAAGAAATGAGATTTGAGGTGTAACAAATTGAATTCTTTTTATTATAACCTCTAGCTACCAGCAAGAGACCAGAGATGCTGCTGGACTCTCTACAATGCATGGGACAGCTCTCACCACAAAAAATTAATCTGGCCCACATATCAATACTTCCAAGGTTCAGAAACCTTGGCTTATTTATTATCAAACCCTGGCTTATTTATTATCTTATAATTGTTTTCACCCTTTGAAAGTATCTGTTTTTGTTGTTTATTTTTAGTTCACTCAGTTAGGATTTAAACAACTCCCCCACTTCATCCATCTACCCAAGAACAGAGAAGCAGTGAAAACAGCACAAGGGCTGGAGTTAGGAGCCTTGACCCTGATTCCCACCACTGCCACATCCTATCTGCCTGATGGGCTACCTCTTGCAGCCTCAGTATGCACATATTTGAAACAGGGCTAATAACAGAACCCAGAGGGGCAGAACAAATGTTTCTTAACCAGTGAATTCCAGCCACCTTCGCCTGAGGCTGGTGTTTCTTTGCTTCTAAATTAGGAGTGTCCAAATGTTTCTCTAAACTTCGTGCCCCCATGGGGCAAGTTGAGTAAACTGAGCTATAGAAATTCCAGTGGAAATCTGAGCTGCTAGGTACAGGGAGATATGGCTCTTCTGGGGAGGTAACTGGCTGTGCGAGGGACACAGGTTACCTGTCTCCTGCCAGCCTCCAAACCGTGGGGGTGGCCCAGGCACTCAAGGTGCCTTGAGTGAATGGCTCTGAAGTTCACCTATTGTTGACCACCCCAAGCAACCACGACAAAGAGGCTGCTTCACCCCCACCTCTGCCTTTTATTCCCTGCATGATCATGGGCAAAATCCCTATCCATCTCCGAGCTGTAATTTGCTCATCTATAATATGGGAACATCAGTGCCCATGTTGCAAGGAACTGGTGAGAATTTCACGAGATTGCAAAGCATGCAAACTGCCTAGCTCAAGGCTTCTGTCCCAACTAGCTTTTTGTATTGGATAGCATTTGAGTGAGGACAGTCTAGAGCAGTGTGCAAAGACCTTTTCTCATCAAAGTTCTCGCTCAATGCAGACAGTTTTGCCCCCGTTATGACTGAGTCTAAAAGAAAGAAAATGTTTTGTTCAAGGTCACACACGTGGGCATCTTGATATTTGAACCCAAGACCAAATTTTCTGCTCTCATTTGATTTTCTCCCTCAAGTCCCACTAGCAAGTTCTAATTCTTCTCAAAACTATTACATAGCCCTCCCACCCAACCCAAGACATTTCTTTTCAGACTTATTGCCACCCAAGCTTCTTGCATACTACTTTTCCCTTCACTCCCATACCTACCTTAGGAGAGTTGAACTCTGAGCTAGGGGTGGGTAGGGGGTAAGAAGAAAAAAAATGTGTAGGTGAAACTCAAAGCTTTGCTATCCTTGTAAATTTAATATAATTTTATTTTCAGGGGATCTGTGCCCTTGACACTTGAGGGATGTGGTTGGAGGCTGGAAGATCCGGAGACATTGAGCTTTCCCCTGGATTTTGGGAAAGGGGAGAGCTCCGGGGTCCTTTTAAAAAGGCCCTCCCCTCATTTCCGGCCGCTTCTGCCAGCTTTGGCTGAGCGCCTGGATCCTGTTGCTATGACGACAGGAAGAGGCGGTGGCGGCAGCAAGCGATGCTGTGGAGAGATGGAGGCTAGTGGGGGTGGGGGTGGTGGCTTTGAAATGGGGATGGGGGTAGGGTTCAGAGGCTGGGATGCAGGTGGGGGAGGAGGCAGGGGCGTCCTCTCTCTCTGACCTCCTTCATGCCTCTGAGCTTAGCACCTCTCCCATTTTTCTCCACCTTCCTTTTGATGCCTTCTCCGTCTCTGTCTCTCCTTACCTGGGTCTCTCTCTTTCCCAGTCTCTTTCCATCTGTTTCTCTCTTTGGGTCTCTCTTTCCTTCTGTAGCTGTCTTTCTGTTTCCAGGCATTTTCTGCCACTCAGACCCCTCTCCCCTAAATTTCTCTCATTATTTACCCTCTCTCTCTCTGCTTCCTTTTCTCTTTCTAAAGCATCTTTCTCTGTGTTAAGACCTTGCCCCATCCCTAGTTTCTCTCCCCCTTTATTTCTCCCTCTCTCCCTCATCCTCTCAGTCTCTCCCCATCTGTCTCTCCCCCTCTCTCTGGATGACACTCTTCCTGTCTCTTCTTTCCTTCTGTTACCCAGACCCTGCCCCCCATCCTCCTCCTCACCCTATCCCTTCCCCATCCCCCCTAGTCTTTTGGTTTCTCTCTTTGGGTCTCTGTCTCTGTCTCCTTCTCTCACTGGATATTTCTTTGTGTGTGTGTGTGTGTCTCTCTCATAACTTCCTTCTACCAGTCACTACCTCCCCACAATTTTTCCCTCCCCCATTCCTGTTTCCCAGTCTCCGGGTCTCCTCTTTCCACTTCCCTTGTCTCTCTCCCCTCGCTCTTTGGGTCTCTCTCTTTTTCCCCAGCTTCCTTCTGCCACCCAGACCCTGCCCCCCATTATCTCCCTTCCCCCCAGCCATCTCCACTCCGTGCTCCCCCATCCTCAGCAGCTCCCCCTCCCTCGCTGCTCCCTCCCTCTCTCGTCCTCCAGCTCCGCACTTTACCCAGCGACTCGAGAACCAAATTGTCTCCTCACCTTTTTTTCCCCATTCCGAACCCCCACTCCCTTGGGGCCCAAGCTCAGAGCTGCTCCTCAGTCTCCCCTCCCACCTCAATACCCCCACCCCCCATACACCTCCTCATCTCCATCCCCCTACCAGGTCGGACGCCTGGGTCTCTCACTGCTGGGGGAGGGGAGCTGTAAGAACTGGGAACCACGAGGGGTTTTTTTTGGGAGGGGTGCTGACAGGGGGCTCCTCGACTCCTCCCCACTGCATTGGAGAATTGACCTGCTATTAACAGAGGTGAGACAGATCTTTTTATTAATCGGAGGTGGGTGGATGTAGAAGGTTCTGTGACCCCCCTAATTCTGGAGGAAGGAGCTGGTCCCATTCAGAGGGAGAGGGTACAGTGACCCCGTCATATCCGGAAGCTGTAGACTTGGGGGTCTTGTGCACCCTCTTCTCTTGCTGCTGCTGACAGATGGACTAAAGGAACAGTCCCTCATGCCAAATAGATTGCCCCCAGATCGACAAAATGAAAAGATCTTCAAACCTTTTTTTTTTTTTTGATGGAGAATTTCCCTAATTTACTTCCTGTTTCTATCCTCTCCTTATCTTGGGTTGTATGGGGCAAATAAGGGGAAGGGTACATCCTGGGGTCACAAGCTCACCAGAGTAGAAGCAGAAATTTGCTAGGACAGTGGAGGTGGTGATGCTGGAGGTAGTGCTGGTGGTGAGGGGCACAGCGAGGGGAAGAAGAGGCCCAGAGATGGAGAGCTGAAGAAACTCAGCGTCTTCTTGGAGGGGAGAGAGAGAAAGGGGCCAGCAGCAAGAAGAGGGAGGCTGGGGGTGTCAGTGTCCAATGTCTGATAAATGGGGTAGGGGCTGCTCGTGGGCTGGCAGAAGTCCAGGTGAAGGAGGGAACACACGTGCGGGGCACTGGGCCCAGTTGCTATGGAGACACCCCCCATAGACAACCTTTTTCAACCACCCATCCATGTATCAGACCGAGTTGGGGCCAGCCAGTGGGGATGGAAGAGGCCAAGGTCACCCTGGTATTGGGACCCAGGAGTGTTTTTCCCTCCTCTATGGTTTCCAGGCTCTTAATTATAATAGGGGATTTAGGGATGAAGTCTCGCAAAGAATGAGTGGTGGAAGCAGGTAAGGGACGAACGCCTAGAAAGAGGTTTGGGGTGAGGTGGAGAAGGCAGGGCTAGGGGTGTATGGTGGTGGGACTGCTCTGGGAGAGGGAAATGAATGGACACTGGGTGGGAGCGGGGCATGCAGAGTGGGAGATTATTCCTAATTGAAAGAGAGTTGTAGTCCTATAGATCAAATTTTTCTGAGGGGTGCTGCCTATGGAGGGGCTCTTTTTAGATTTGAAAGAAAATTCATATGGCGTATGTTCCTGCACAGGTGAAATAGGGAGAGTGCTGGGGGTGTTCCCAAGAAGAGAAGTCTGGGGGGGGCAGGAAGGGGGTTTTTCTAAGTGGATGAGATGCTGGGAGTCAGAGTGAGTGGAGGAAGAGGGCAGGAGTGAAGGGGAACCTTCATATGTGAGAGAAGTCAAGGCAGGGGTGGGGGAAGTTTCTTGCAAGTTGGAGAGAGAGTGGGAGGTCCAAGTGAGTTGGGGAGATCTAGAATTGGGATAACAAGGTCTGTCCTGGGGGTGTAGAGGAGTGGGAGGTGGTGGGAGGGCAGAAGAATGGGGTGGGAGGTGTTGGGCAGACCAGCAGATTTCCTTGGACAGCAATGGATGTCTGGGTCAGCTTCGGAGATTCTGAATGGATAGGAATTGGGGGTCTGGAGGAAGAGATTTCTATGAGTAGGAAATGCCATAGAGCTCATGGAGAAAATTTTTCTTAATGGAGGAGAAAGTGATGGTCATGATGAGTTCATCTAAGTTGCAGAGATAGCAAGGCTGGATTCAGAAGACTTCTTTAAGCAAAGGAAAGGATGGGAGTTTTTCTTGAGTCAAAGACATAGTGGGGTGTGGGGTGGTCCAAGGGAAACAGTGGGGATTGTTAGAGGGAATGGGGTGGAGATAGGGGCCTTCTTCTAAACCAGCGGGTCCAGTGTGGTATTGGTGCTGGTTAAGATCCCCCAGGGAGCCTTAAAAAGCCTAGATGCTCAGGGTCATACCAGACCAGATCAAGGAAATCTGAATTTCTCAGGTGGGACGCAGTTGTTGTATCTTCAAAGGGCCTTGATGACATTTTCAAGGTGCGTTGGAGGTTGAGATCCTTGGTCCAGAGACAGAGAGGTCTATGTGAGGAAGGAGGTTCCCAGGCTGAGGAGATGGTGTGTTTGGGGGGAGTATGGTGGTAACCATGTGATTCTTCTGGGTTGTGCAAACAGTGAGGATTCTTGGGGAGTTTTTATTGTTTTGTTTTGTTTTAACTGAAGAGATATTGAAAGATTTGTGTTTCTTCAGTAGAGGACACAGTAGGTGAAGAGGTGGGACTTGTAGGGAAGTTAGAGACTGTGTAGAAGTGTATGAGAAGAGTGGTGATGAGGGTCTTGTAGAAAGGGAGGAAGAGGTCAGGGGTCCTTGGAAGGAGGAAGCACTGAGGGCTGGAGTGAGGATGGCTTTCTCAGTGTTGAGGACAGTGAGGAGGAGCTGGAGGGGGCTGGAGGGATGTCCTAGGCTGTCAGGGATGGATGGTGGGGGTATTTCTTGGAGTGGGTCTCTGTAGGGAGCCGTTTTGGGGCAGAAGGAGATTTTTTTTTTTTTTTTTCACAGAGAGGGAGGCAGTGGGAAGCGTAGTGGAAGTAGTCTGTTCCACCAAGGAAATAGGAAGGTACTGGTTTCCCCTGGTCTAACCCTTTATCTCACTCCTGCCCTCCACCAGCTGGTGACCATGGCCGCCCTCTGACCACTCCCGCCTAGCTTCGACCGTTGCCCAGCCCAGCCCCAGCGGGCCCAGGCCCCCTACTTCTGCCTGCACTGTGACCCCCCCAGCCGCCGGCACGGCCCCGCCCCCGCTGCCCCGGTGGTGGCCCACGGCCCCCCGGCTGCCCGTGGTCAAACTGGAGTCACTGAAGCGCTGGAACGAAGAGAGGGGCCTCTGGTGCGAGAAGGGGGTGCAGGTGCTACTGACCACGGTGGGCGCCTTCGCTGCCTTCGGCCTCATGACCATCGCCATCAGCACAGACTACTGGCTGTACACGCGAGCCTTCATCTGCAACACCACCAACCTCACAGCAGGGGACGACGGGCCCCCTCACCGCGGCGGTGGCTCTGAGAAGAAGGACCCTGGAGGCCTCACCCACTCCGGCCTCTGGAGGATCTGCTGCCTGGAAGGTAGGTAGGGTCTCAGCTCCCCTCCGTTGGGCCCTGTCCCTCTTCTCCTGAAGTTGCCAGCGGTCCCCATGGGTGGTTCTGCCTCTCTTGCTCCAACCTTTCAACTCTGCTCTGCAACCTGGCCTTCTCTGATCCCTGGCTGGGGTGCACCCTGGTCAGCTGCACCTGCTGCCTCCTCCCCTCTGAACCCCCTTACCTTATTTTTTCTTCATTCCAGTTTCCTTCCTCCTTTCACCCCTCCTTCTAACCTCCCTCTCTGACTTGGTAGCTTCCATGGCAGCCCTCTGCTTCTCCCTCTCACCGTTTCTCTTGACGCCCTCCTCTAAGAGCCCCCTCTCTCTCCTTCATGCACCATTGCATCTTCTCTCTCCCTACACCCTACCGCAGTACTGTGGGTGCCCTGTTCACTGCCCCTTCCTCGCCTCCTCCACCCCCTGCCTCATGTTGGCTGTTCTCTCAGACGTCATGCCTTACTGGCCCCAACTCCTGGACTCTCTTCTTTCCTCACCCGCACTTTTCCTCCTGGTCTTGCCTGCCTCCCCCCATCAGCTCTCCTGTCAAGATTTTTTCCAGCTCCCACCCTGGTCCTTCTCTCCCTCTGACAGCCTTTTTCCTAGCCAAATCCCTCTGTATCTCTGTGTGGCTGCTACCTTTTCATATCCCTGAGCCTCCTGGCAGCCCCGTCTGCAACACAGAGTGGGACCAGGCAGTCCAGAAGCTCTGCCTCAGGCACCAAAAGACTGAAATCCCTTCCTTTCTCGTTTTATCCCTCTTTTTCCTATCCCTTCCTCCTCTGTTTTGCTAAGCACTCGTGACAAGCAGGGGTTGTTATTATCTTGTTAAGTTCTATGAGCTGGGTGCCACCCTCCTGTCAAGGATGAGGAAACTGAGGCACAGAGAGGTTAAGCCACTTGCCCAAGGTTACCCAGGTGTGGACTGGGCAGAGCCCAGAGCTCGGGTCTGACAGATATGATTTGCAGATAGGCTTTGTTTGGTGTGTTGACTGTTTAAAACTGAAACCAAAATCTGAATCAGTTGCCAACATTTAAAAATAAGGCAATTTCATATTGAAAATCTGATTTTCGGCTTCTTTTGAACTGCTGGAAGTACTGACAACACAGGGCCCATGTTCTGCAGTGGCCACAAGTGGCCGGATCTGAGCGGCAGCTGCTTCTTCACATCAGACATGGGGTTTCCATTTCCCCAGTATTGCCTCCGCTCCCTGTTGCCTCACATCTCAACTGCTTCTCCCGTTATGTTACTTCCTTCCTCCTATGGGTATTTGACTTCAGGCCGATCCTGGTCTGACCAAGTACCAGGCACAGAGCCAAGTAGGCGGCTTGAGTCCTGAAACCCCTAGGACAGAGTAGGACATAGAGTAAGAATGCCACTCGTTCATTCATTCATGACCAGTATTTATTGAGTTTATACTATGTGCCAGGACCTATTCTTGATTCTGGGACTATCGCAGTGGGGGTAAAAAAAACAGACAGACAAAAAAATCTGTTCTTATGTGTTATATTCTAAAGAGAGAAATGGATAGTGAAAGATAATTAATAAAACATTTAGGGTGTTAGATAGAGCTAAATGCCAAAAGGAAGAAAAAGGGCCAGGAAGGAGAAGAAAGTATGAGGGGTCTGTGTGTGAAGTTATTGAGGAGACTTTGCAGGTGACTTGAGTGGAGGCCTGAAGGAAGTGAGAGGTGGAGCCCTGTGGCCATCTGGAGGAACCAGCTTCAGCTGTAGAAAGAGCCAGAGCAAAGGCTTTAAGGTGGAACCACGGGGGAAACCAAATGGCTGGGGCAGAGTGCATTAGGGGGCAGTCAGAGATGACAGGGCCATGATCTCGAGCGTTCGTCTATGTTCCGCAGTGTCTTGTGCCTTCCACATTAGAGGTTCTTGAGCAGGAGAGTGACATGAGCTGACTTCAACTTTAGCAGGCTCGCTCTTGCTGCTGTTGGGAAACTAAGGGGAAGGCAAGAGGGAAGCAGGAGGTGGCTTCTCTGGGGTGGGAGCAGTGGCATTTCGGAAGTGGTTTGAATTCAGATTGTACTCCAGAGCTACGACAGGCAGGTGTTGCTGGTGGGGCAGTTGTGGGGTACAAGAGAGAAGAGTCAGGGTGTCTCTAAAGCTGAGGCTGCATGAAGTAAAACGACTTTCTCAAGGTCACACAGCTCGCACCTCTCAGTTGTGACAACCAAAACTGTCAACTGTCTCTGGACTCGGAATACAATTATCTGTAGTTGAGAATCCCTGCTCTAAGGCTGTGGCCTGAGCACCTGAGAAGGGGGTTGAGGGGATGGAGAGGGTATTTATAAGATGGAACAGCAAGTATTTCATTTTATTTCTTTTCATTTCTCTCATCTAACTTATTATAAGGAGGGCTATCAGGAGTGCAGTACTAGACATGTTAACTTTTAAATGTCTATTAGAGACATCATCATTTAGGACTGGGACAGCATGGTCAAGGGACTGTAATGTGCCATACAGTCAATATTTTAGGCTTTGTGGCATACACCATCTCAGTCACGACCGCTAATGAATACAACCAGCGGTGACACACGAGTGAATGACCGTGGCTGTGTTCCAATTAAACTTCACTTGTAGATACTAACATTTGAATCTTTTATCGTTTCCACTTGCCACAAAATAGTCTCTTTTGATATTTTTTCAATCATTTAAAAAAGGCATAACCCATTCTTCTCTGGGTTTGGCCCATGGGCCACAATTTGTCGCCTCTTGATCTAGGCTGTTGGCAATATTATATGACGCCAGAGTTCAGGGGACAGTCTGGGCTGGAGATACAAATTGGGAGTTGTGACATATGAGCAAATGAGGTCATCTAGAGAATGAGAAGAGACATAAACCAAAAAATGAGTGGAAGGGCTGCAGCCTCAGCTAGGTCATTATTAAGAGACAACCAGAGAGTTGAGAAGCCAGCAAAGGGAGCTGAGAAAGGAGTGGTTACTGAGGTTGGGGGAAGTGAGGTAAGTGGGTGTCCTGGAGGGCAAACCGAATGTTTTAAGGAAGAGGTAAATGCAGACTGGCTTTATTGTTACCATCATTGTCATTCATTTGTCACCCAATGCTCACAAGAACCCTAGTGGTATGAACTGTTTTATCCCTGTCTGCTAGATATGGAAGCTGAGGCTCAGAGAAGTGAAGTGACTTTCCCAAGGTCACACAGCTAATGTGCAGCAGAGGCTGGTTTTGAATCCAGGTCTGTTTTGTTTCCTAGGAGAACAAAGCAACACACCTGCCAGACTCCAGCCCATTGGGGATCCAGGAATATAGAAACTGGTCCCCTTAAGCCACTTCCTTCTGAAGGCATTGTGTCCCTGGGAATTCTTGGGGTCCAGCCCCATCACTGTGAAGCAATAGAATGTAGTACTCGAGGGTGACCTTGGGCCATGTACTTCGCCTCTCTGTGTCTTATTTCCATCATTGGTGAGATGTAGATTGGAATAGCCCCTAACCACAGGGTAAAGGGGGGAATCAGTGAGTTAGCATGTATAAAGCCTTTAAAAGGCTAACAGGAGCAGAGCAAGGGCTAGATAATGCAGTTCATATTTTGTTGCTCTTCTTATTATTAGGAATTCAGATAACCAAGCCCTGAGTCCCCATTCCTTGATAATCCAGAAGTCCCAGGCTCTCACGCAGCACTACCGAATTAAAACACCACACGAGCTGCATATATGTTTAAGTTTTCCTAGTAGCTATGTGAAAACAAGTAAACAGGAAAAGGATAATGATATAATTTATATGACATAAGACATTCATATAAAGGTTAACAATATGTTTTATTTAACCAAGCAGAGATATAATATTATCACTTAACTTGTAATCAATATAAAAATTATTTGTGAAATATTATACATATTTTTTTTCATAATAAGCCTAACATCAGTTTGTATTGTACACTCATAGCTTATCTCAGTTGCCAAGTTTCAAATGCCTGAGAGCCACAGGGGCTGGTGGCATCTGTATGGGTCTAATACCTCCCCAGGAATGTCAGCTACAGCCCATTTATTTGAGCTGACTGTACAAAGGCCCCACTTTGCATGCCTTGTTATCTCGTTGAGTCTTCCCAACTGTGACAGGGGAAGGTATTATCTCTTGTGTTTATCAGAGTAAGAAGCTGATGGCCAGAAAGGATAAGTGAGACAGCCACATGGCCACCCAATGTGTGAGGGGCAGAGCCTGCTGGAACCCACTGCTCCCCATATCCTCACCATAGCCCACTCCCACTTCACCCCCCACCACCCAGGTCTGTGTGAGGCAGTTCCTAGGGAATACCCGATGACACATCACTGCTATCACTGCACATGAAAAGCTCCCAGTCCAGTTGGGTCATATAAGACACAGAGGATGCTCCATGTGTCCTGATCTTGATTGGGTGTTTGACTGAATTCTTATTAGTCCTTATAAAGTCATATCATCATCCCCATTTTCCAAATGAGGATGCTGAGGCTCAGGGGCATTCAAGTCTCAAAGCCACACAGCTGGGAAGTGGCAGCCCTGGCATGTGGGTCCAGAGCCCACACTCGTAGCCACCAAAGTCACCATGCTCCACTGCCTCCCATATGCTCACATCTGAAGCCCAGCTGCTCTTGCATTCCCTCCCCTTGACTTTCCATCTGCGTGGGACTCAGTAGCTTCTTCCACTCCATGCTTCAGTTTCCTCACCTGTAAAGCAGGGGGACTGTTATTGCTTCATGCGCCTAGGGTTTGTCATAAGTATTGAGTGTGTTAATACCTGTCAACTGCTCGGAGAAGTGCCTGGTGTGCGGTTAGCCCTCAGGAAGTACTAGTTGTTGTTACTGCTGTCATCACCCATCTGCTGAGAGAGTCTGTGTGCTGTGTGCTCTCTATGCTCAATCTCACTTAGTTATCGTAAATGTTGGAAGAGAAGTGTTATGATCCTGTTCAGAACAGAACAGGACTCAAACCCCACTCTTACCTACCACACCGTAATGCCTGTGCTGATGAGTAAGAGTTTGCACTTGAGAGGTGTATATTCATTATTCAACTGTTCTTTCTTTAAAATTGTGGTAAAATACACATCACATAAAACTGATCATTTAAACATTTTTAAGTGTGCAGTTCAGTAGTGTTCAGTACATTCACATGTTGTGCAGCCATCACCACCATCCATCTCCACAACTATCCTCATCTTGCAAAAGTTAAACTCAGTCCCCATTAAACACTAACTCCCCATTCATTCTTCATCCTTCCAGCCCCTGGCAACCACCATTCTCCTCTCTGTCTCTGTGAATTTGACTCCTGGGAACCTCATAGGAGTGGAATCACATAGTATTTGTATTTTCGTGACTGGCTTATTTCACTGAGCATAATGTCCTCAAGGTTCATCGATGTTGTAGCATGTGTCAGAATTTCCTTCCTTTTTACAGCTGAATAATATTCCATTGTGTGTGTACCACATTTGATTTATCCTTTCATCCACCAATGGACACTTGGGTTGCTTTTGTCTATTGTGAATAATGCTGCTATGAAAACGGGTGTATAAATATTTCTTAGAGAAATATTTTATTTATTTTGAGTATATACCCAAAAGTGGAATTGCTGGATCGTATACTAATTCTGTTTTTAATTTTTAAAGGAACCTCTATACTATTTTCCATAACGACTGCACCATTTTACATGCTTGCACAAGGGTCCCAATTTCTCCAGATCTTTGCCAACACTTATTATTTTCTGCTTTTTAAAAAAATAGTAGCCGTTATAATGGGTATAAGGTGGTATCTCATCATGATTTGATCTGCATTTCCTTGTTGGTTAGTAATGTTGAGCATCTTTTCATGTGCTTGTTGGCCCCATTTGATCATTCTTTCTTAAAAATATTTATCAAGCACTTACTATGTGTTAGGCAATATTCTAGAAGGTGGGGATATGGTGGTGAATAGCCCATATGTTTACATTCTAGTAGGGCAAACTGCTATGTGTTTGAATCTGCTTCCACCACCCATAAACCGTGAATTGATGAACCCTTTCTGTGCCTGTTTCCACATCTGGACAATGGGTATGTTGATTGATAATGACTAGGCACTTAATTGTGATCCAGGCAAAGTGCTAAATGTTTTTACCTGGACCTAATCCTCACAACAACCACGTGAGGTGGGTCCTATTATTCTCTTTTTCTGTGTGAGGAGACTGAGTATTGTCCTAAATGATGCCAGCAAGGTCACAGAATAAGGACATAATGGAGTTGGGCTTCATTTGCAAGCAGTGGGACTTCAGTTCCCCATGTTTGGCCACCACACGACACCAAAAACATTATCTATTTCTTGGGACCTTGGAGAGCTCCAGATGAGTTAACCCCCCTAAAAAGCACGTGAAAATGTTAACTCTTAGTGGAATTACTCATTGCCTTATCTTCCTTCCTCCCAATCTTTGTCTTTATCCCCATTCCTTTCTCTGTCATCTCCCTTTTCGTTATCCTTACATTCATTTATTCATTCATTCCACACCCATTTCTTGAGCCCTCCTTTGTGCTAGGCAATGCTAGGGACACAGAAGAATCAGACCCCATGCCCCCTCCCTTTGCAGAAACTCCCAGAAGAAGAAATTCACAAATCAACCGGATGCATGCCAAAAGGGGGATAACAGAGGGAGCTGCTGCACCCGAGAGGGAAACTGACCACACGTTAGTGGGAATGAGTGTGTGCACATACCTCGAGGTCCTCTGCAAGCTGCCCACCTGCAGGGTGTTTCATCGATGAGGACCGTGAGTGCTTGGAGAAGAGAGGAAACATAAATGTATTTATTTAGGCTTACTTACATGTCACCAGCTATGTGCTAGAACAGGAACTGTCCTTAAAAATGAGATGATGGGTTTCCAAAGGGTGTGAGGTCCAGATCGGAGAATAGGGTTCTGGGGTGGAGGAAGGTGGTGAGACTTCCTCCTACAGGGAGTGAATGACCCCTACAGGCTGAAAGGGTGTCTTCAGTGCCTCTGATTGCTCCAACCACTCCATTTCCTTCCAGCGGAATCCAGGTAAGACACGGGGGATCCCTCTCCTTATACGCAGGACCGAAGAGACTACAACACCCATGATCCACCGGGACTGCTGTCCCCCCACAATTGGATTTGAAACGTCGTAGGGCCTCATGGGAAATGTAGTCCTCGCCCTCTGCGGCCTCCGTTTTCCCACGCATTTTCAAACTCATCAAGTTCAGAATCAGAAGTGCACTTTGACATTGCTGTAACCAACGTCTTTCTTACAAAGGGGAATACAGAAGGCCAGAGAGGCTGAGTCTCTTAGCCCAGGAGTCAGAGAAAGGTCGTGGCGTTTTAGTGGGTATTGGTGGATTTTTTTCCTTTTTTCTTTTTTTAACTAGTAGGGAAACTGAGGCCAGAAAAGTTGAAAGTTTGTCTCATATGCCGAGGCAGGCTTGAGCCAGAGCTTCTTGTCTCCCAATCAGCACAGAGAAAGATGGGGTACGGGGAAGGGGGAAGGGTCTTTTCTCATCAGTTCCCCCAACTCTTAAGTCCCCCCGCCACCATCACCCCCATCCCCCTCCAGGACTGAAAAGAGGCGTCTGCGTGAAGATCAATCATTTCCCCGAGGACACGGACTACGACCATGACAGCGCGGAGTATCTGCTCCGTACGTGGGGGTCCGGGACAGATTGGGGGCACTGTCGAGGCTGGGCTAGGGGAGGGAAAGGGGCTGGGCATTTAGATCGACGCGCAGAGATGAGCGTGCCAGCCAATCCAAGTCCAGAAACATTCTCTGGTCTGGGATTGGCTCCGTGGTCCCTCTCCCGCCCCCTCCTCTCACCTTGGGGCGGGCTGAGGGGGGGATCCCGGGAGCTGATTGGTCGCTGTGCTGTCCTGGCACCGGCGGCAACTCCGTGCTGTGACTGGTTGTCGCTCTCTGGGCTGAGATTGGCCCTCCTCGGGAGCCGGCTGGGGAAGCCTGGGATGCGATTGACAGTAACTCAGAGAACGCGGCAATTCCTGAATTATGATTGGCAGCTCAGAAATCGCAAAATTTGTTTGCCTGGGGCTTGGGGGGTAGGTGGGAAGGGCTGCAGAGAAGAGAGAGAGAAAGAGAAACCTGAGAGAGAGAGAGAGAGAAAGAGAAACCCAACGCTATAAATGAAGCCTGGCTGAAAAAGGGTGGGGGTGGCAGTGAAATATATGAAATTGGGCAGAAAGCGGGGTTGGGGGTATGGTGTGGGGAGAAATATTAAGAGATTTGATAGCGGGATCTGGAGAAAGGAAATGTATAGGAAAGAAGGAAAGGAGCGTGTGAGAAGGAAAAAGAGAAAGGGAAGGAGTGCATAGAAATAGAAGTTCAGAGAAAAAGAGGGGGGTGATTTAGAAAAATAAAAAGGGGGCGTAAAAATGTGCCAGGAGAGAGAAAAACAGACAAAAGAAGAAAGGACAAAAAGAGAGGAAATCAGACCGAGAAACAGAGAAAATTTAAAAAGGAGAGAGAACGAGGCAAAAACAGCCAGAACACAGGCAGATAACTAGAGGGACAAGTGGAGAAGAAAACCAGCGGGAGGCGCAGCGAGAAGGGGCGCAGGCGGCCGCGTCTGACCGCCCTGTCCTCCACCCCCCTTCACCCTCGCAGGAGTCGTACGGGCCTCCAGCATCTTCCCCATCCTCAGCGCCATTCTGTTGCTGCTCGGGGGCGTGTGCGTGGCAGCCTCCCGGGTCTACAAGTCCAAGAGGAACGTCATTCTGGGCGCAGGGATCCTGTTCGTGGCAGCAGGTGAGAGGCTGAGCGAGGGGGCGGCCGGCGGGGCGGTCCACCTGCGCGACCACGCGTGTGTGTGTGTGTGTGTGTGTGTGTGTGTGCGGCGCGCTCAAAGCCACCCTGCCCCGGGCGATCCCTGGGGCCGGGAGCCCTCCTAGGCTCTTCCCAAGCTCCATCGCCACCCACTGGGCAAGGTAGGTGTCGTCTTCGCGCGGTTTTTGGGCGAGTGAACCCACCCAGCACAGACAGGTAGACACTAGCGCATAATCGGGGGTGCGGGGAGTTTAGGTTCCAAAGCCAGGGGTTCTGGTGACGGAAGGGGAGGAGCTTGGGAGATGGGGTGGGACCTTGAGACAGAATTGGGGTCTTCAAGATACAGAGGCCGGGCAGGGCACTGGAGAGAAAGTGATTTGCTGTAGGTGGGAGCAGCCTGCTTTGGGGGCGGGCCTTGTGGATCCCAGTGGATCCAAGAAAGGTCTGGTCCCGGGAAATCGTTCAGACCAACTCCGTGTGAGGCATGTCATTAAGGAAAAGACCCCCTTAGTATCCGAAGTGAAAAGTGCTGGGAGACTCTGGCAGGCAGAGCTTTTTTCACGATGTGGAACCCAGAGAAGGGGGAGGATTTAGCACGAAGAGCAGGGGGTACTCTGGCGACGGGTCAAGATCTGCAGGTGGTGGGGCTAGCTAGACCCGGGGACAGGGTTTACGCCATCTGAGGGCAGGGCCTTGACTATCTGGGGCCGTACCTGGACCAGCTGAGGGCGTGGGCCGGCTAAGGCTAGGACCACTTAGAGCGGGTTCTGGACCAATTGGGTCACAGCCTAAGCTACATGGGGGCAGGGCCTAGGCCATCTTGGGGCGAGGCATAGACCAACTGGGGTGGAGTTTAGACCACCTGAAATGCCGCTTGGACCATCCAGAGCGGGGTCTGGATCCTTAGGGGCAGGGCCTGGAACATCTTGGGTGGAGGTTAGACAAGCCCGGGCAAGACCTCGACTATCTGAGGGTGAGGTTTAGACCGAACGGGTAGAGGTCTGGACCATTTGGGGCGTGTCCTAGGCTCTCTTGGGGCGGGGACTGGACCAGCTGAGGAAGAGTTTAGGCAACCTGGGTCCCGGCTCGGGTCATCTAGGCCGGGCCTATACAATCCAGAGGTGGAGCTAGGCCAGCGGGGGCGGGACGGGGCCGGGGCCGGGGTGGCCGCGAGGCTCCCGTCTGACCGTCCCCGCCCAGGCCTGAGCAACATCATCGGCGTGATCGTGTACATCTCGGCCAACGCGGGCGAGCCGGGCCCGAAGCGGGACGAAGAGAAGAAAAACCACTACTCGTACGGCTGGTCCTTCTACTTCGGAGGGCTGTCGTTCATCCTGGCTGAGGTGATCGGCGTGCTGGCCGTCAACATCTACATCGAGCGCAGCCGCGAGGCGCACTGCCAGTCTCGCTCGGACCTGCTCAAGGCCGGCGGGGGCGC